CTCACGGGAGCCTGCTCGCGCTGCGCTCCCGCTCACGGGAGCCTGCTCGCGCTGCGCTCCGCAGCAAACAGCTGTTTGCTTTTCACCCATCAACGACAACCGCCTCACGAAACGCTATGTTGTAGCGTTAATAAACGAAACAATTTAACTAAATTGCTGGTCAAAATACCAATACCACAGGACCATTTTTTTTTTGAAAGTGATATTTTTAGTGTCCCGAGCGGGCAAGTGGAAAGTACGTTATGCTGGCCCGGGGTCTCTAAATAGTGCTTCCGGTCCAGCGGGCCATTTATAATGTCGAGCCCTGGGTCACAAATACATGGATCCTGAGATTGAAGCTCAAGCCGGTGACCAGTGATTATTAACATTCCGGATTTTGAGAGAAAGTCAGAATTTTGAGAAAAAGTCAGAATTTTGAGAGAAAGTCAGAATTTTGAGAAAAAGTCAGAATGTGGGATTTTCAGAAAAAAGCCAACATTTTCAGAAAAAAGTCAGTATTTAGTACATGCCAGGATGTATGATTACCTACAAGAACCGGTATTCCTCCATCTTGTGTCTGTGTAACTCCCTCTCTTGTATATCAGCATGTGAAGGACACTAGTTGTACCAAATGCTCTGTATGTGATGACTACTTCCATTCTTGAGAGGATAACAAATACATGGATCCTGATTATTGAAACTCAAGCCGGTGACGAGTGAGATTTTCCTAACAATTATCTAAAAATTAATTGACAAAACAGATGCAAAACATGGATTGAGAACACACACAACAAATAACAAATAACAGTGAGGGGAAATATTATCAAGAGGAAATACTACATCAATCATGTATTTACAGATTATATACAGTCATCTAGCTGGCCTTACTCACCAGTCAATCTCGTTTAAAGACCTTCGAATCAGTCTGTGTTTTCTAAATTGAGTTTTTTTATTTTGTTGTGTTTTAAAATGTTTTTACATCGTGTATGAGAGTTGTTCAGTCTGTGGCTATAAGTATGGTTATTATTTTTTGTATATATTTGTTCTCCTATCGGTTTTGTCTAAATGTATTTATGCTGCTTTTTATATATGTATTGAAGTACAGCACTTTGGTAAACTCTGTTGTTTTTAAACGTGCTATAAATAAAGTTGGATTGGATTGGGGCTGTTCTCTACCTGCCGATCTCTCCAGTGGTGAGGATGAGAGTGTTGCGCAGGTCGTCGTCTCTCTTGAGTTTAGCGTTGTTGAAAGCCTCTTTAAGACGGGCCACTAGGAGCTAGGATAGGGGGAAGAAACACAAACATCCCCTTCATTTTCTCACAAATAAAGCAACTTACAACCCCCAAAAAGTCAGCTTTGAAAAAAAAGTAATAACCAAGAAAGATTTTGAGCTATTTCACAACAAAAGACTTGGACGTGTAGTGCTCACCTCATTCAGGGATCCCTGCTCTGAGTTCCTGGTGGTCTCTGTTAGCAGGAAACGCACTGATTGGCTGAAGCGTATTCTGACCACTGGATCCGAGTCTTCCATTAGACCAATCAGAGCGCAGAGAACTTCCTGGGAGCCGCTGTCTCCATCAACCAGATTGACGTGCTGGCAGAGGTGAGGCAGAGCTTCTAGGAAAGCTTTAAAAGGAAAGGGAAATAAGGAAATGAGCTGGAGGACATGTTGCTGTAAAACCATCCATAGGAGGATCACAGCAAAGTACCGTGTGCATAATAATCATTTATCAAGCTTGTGCTTGTTTTGAAAGCTCACATGGAAGAAAACCTCCCACAGAAAAGCTGAAATACCTTGCTTAACACTACTTGGAGCTTGTGGTTCGAGCAGTGGCAGGAAAGGTTTGACAACAGTCGCCTTGAGGGACGGCAAAGTGTTCCCAGCATGCTCTGCTGCGAGGCTGAGTTTGTGGCAGAGGATCTCAGGAGCAGGAGTGGACCTTGTTTGGGTGTCACTGAGCTGGGAGAGATCTGATTGGATACAGCTCAGCTGACCGATGATCCTCGCAAGCTCCTTCTTCACCGTCTCAGAACCGTCCTCCAGCCTGGGACTGCAAACGGTCAAAGAACACCATGGACATAATGAAACAAATGAAATACACCATTAAAGAATGATGAAACAATGATATTGAAGCTTAAAGGTCGCCTATTATGCAAAATCCACTTCTTCATGTCTCTTCTACATCAACATGTGTCCCCTCTTCTTCATGTCTCTTCTACATCAACATGTGTCCCCCTCTTCTTCATGTCTCTTCTACATCAACATGTGTCCCCTCTTCTTCATGTCTCGTCTACATCAACATGTGTCCCCTCTTCTTCATGTCTCTTCTACATCAACATGTGTCCCCTCTTCTTCATGTCTCTTCTACATCAACATGTGTCCCCTCTTCTTCATGTCTCTTCTACATCAACATGTGTCCCCTCTTCTTCATGTCTCTTCTACATCAACATGTGTCCCCTCTGTGTAAAGAGACTCTGAAAGTTTCAGGAACAAAGATTCTCTCTCTTTTTGTCCTGATCCATTTCTATAAAAACCTGTCTGAAAATGAGCTGATCAGACTTTGGCCACTTTATGATGTCATAACGATGTTTTGGCTTGTGTAACCATTAGCCA